TGGAAGATCTTTTCCAAGGGAGGCCTTTTGATATGCTCGACGCAGCGTTAGCCGATACCGTTACTAAGTTTCCGGTTGATATTCAGGTCGGATATGGTTCGATCTAACACTAATGTCATACTAAATCTTATACGTTCGTACTTGTTTTCATGGATGTAGTAGCCATGGTGTTTTTGGTTATCGAGCGGATTGAAGTCTAATAGGTTTTTGATATTTACAGCCGTTCAAAGATATGATCGAAGGGATGAGGACGGATCTAAGGAAGTCGAGATACAAGAATTTCGACGAATTGTATCTATATTGTTATTATGTTGCTGGAACTGTTGGGTTGATGAGTGTTCCTGTCATGGGCGTTGCACCTGACTCACAAGCAAGCACAGAGAGTGTGTATAATGCTGCTTTGGCGTTAGGCATTGCTAATCAGCTTACAAACATTCTTAGAGATGTTGGAGAAGAGTAAGTTCACTGTCCTTTAGTAATGTTTTCTCAGCTTAAAACCTTAATGAAATTGGTTCATGTCTCAATTGTTGTCTTTCTAGTTGTCTTAGTGTAGGTGTAAGCGTCGAAGTTTAAGAATTAAGAATTAACGACAAACTAAAGAACTTAGAGAGAATATGTAACGGTTTAAGCCCACCGCTAGTTGATATTGTCATTTTTAGGCTTTTTCTTTCGGGACTTCCGTTAAAGTTTTAAAACGCGTCTACTGGGGAGAGGTTTCCACATCCTTCGAAGGAATGTTTAATTCCCTTTCTAGTCGATGTAAGATCTCACAATTCACCTCCCCAGCAAACTCGTTGGCACACTGTCCGGTGTCTGGCTTTGATACCATTTGTAACAATCCAAGCCCACTGGTAGAGGATATTGCCCTCTTTAGATTTTTCCTTCATGGGTTTCACTCAAGGTTTTAAAACGCGTCTACTAGGGAGAGGTTTCCACATCCTTCTAAGAAATGTTTTGTTCCCTTCCCAATCGATGTAGGATCTCACAATCCACCTCCCTTGGGGGCCAACATACTCGTTGGCACACTGTCTGGTGTCTAGCTCTGATACCATTTGTAATAATTCAAGCCCACTGGTAGCGGATATTGCCCTATTTAGGTTTTTTCTTCATGGGTTTCACTCAAGATTTAAAACGTATCTAGTAAGGAGAGGTTTCCACATCCTTCTAAGGAATGTTTTGTTCCCTTCCCAATCAATGTAGGATCTCACAATTCACCTCCCTTGGGGGCCAACGTACTCGTTAGCACACTGTCCGGTGTCTGGCTCTGATACCATTTGTAACAATTCAAGCCCACTGTTAGGAGATATTGCCCTCTTTAGGTTTTTCCTTCATGGGTTTCACTCAAGGTTTTAAAACGTGTTTACTAGGGAGAGGTTTCACACCCTTATAAGGAACGTTTCATTCCCTTCCCAATCGATGTAAGATCTTACAATCCACCTCCCTTGGGACCAGCGTCCTCGTTGGTACATTGTCCAGTGTCTGACTCTTATATCACTTATAACAGCCCAAGCCCATTGTTAGCAGATATTGTTCTCTTTAAACTTTCTCTTTAAGGGCTCCTCTATTAGGGAGAGGTTTCCACACCTTATAAAGAATATTTCGTTTCCTCCCCAATCGATGTAGGATCTCACAAATACATCCAAACCACGTTATCCACCCAAATAACCTAGGGTCAAACGATTGTCTAAGGTGCACACAAACTAGATAGAACACTCACGAATTTATGTCGTCGGGTTTAAAAAGATGTTAGATTCAAATGATTCGTTTATTGTGTTCTAAGACGAACGAAAAGACGTTATAACGAAAAAAAAAATGTGTATAAAGTGCTAGAAGAGGAAGAATATATCTACCACAAGACGAGCTAGCTCAAGCTGGACTATCAGACGAGGACATATTCGCCGGAAGAGTAACAGATAAGTGGAGAAACTTCATGAAGAATCAAATTAAAAGAGCCAGATTGTTCTTCGATGAGGCTGAGAAAGGAGTGTTGGAGCTTAACAAAGCTAGCAGATGGCCGGTACGTTTCCCTTTTGGTCTTAAAATGATAGCTAGTTTTTGTAAGAACATGTTACTCATGAACACTTGTGGTATACAGGTGTGGGCTTCGTTGCTATTATATCGCCAAATATTGGACGAGATTGAAGCAAATGACTACAACAACTTCACAAAGAGGGCATATGTGAGCAAAGCCAAGAAACTATTGGCTTTGCCAATGGCTTATGCAAGGTCTCTCCTTAGCCCTTAATGAACTCACATCACTATATACTCAACAAACACAATCAAAATTCAGCTATCTCCATGTTCTTAACTATACAATGCCTCTTCCAACTAGCCATAGTGTCTAATTTCATTTTTTGATCTCGAGGAGGTGCATGATGGGTGTCGGGTCTCGTTCAGGTGGAGATAGTTGAACCTTTTTAACCTCTTGATCGAGGGTATAATACTAACTTATTGATGGGTTTTGAATTTTTTGAGATGAAAAACGTAAAAAACAATCGTAACGATTTGATGTACACGGACTTTAAAAGTAAACGGTGGATGTCCGTTCCATAAATCTTTTCATTATCCTCTTTCTTTTTGTTTTCATTTCAAAAGCGATGTACATTCTTGGCCCCACGTGTTATCCTCCCCTCCCTCTATTTCACGAATCCCTCGAGCCTCCAAATACTTTTCATGTCTGTGGCTGAGTTGTTTTCACTTGTTGAAAATGATTTCTAACGCTTTCCTATTTCGTCTCTCTTTACTTGTACAATCTCTCTCCGTTTTCACTTTTTCTAGTGTTCAGTTATTTCACCTACCACCGTACTTTGATACCATTCACTCGTTTTGCATGTGATTGATATATCACTAGAGAAAGTGATATATCGTTAGAATTTCTATGCTTCCTTGTTGGGTCTCTCGTCATCATTCATGCATAAATTCTCTCTGACACTAGTCATGTTTTCTTTAAATTCTCAGTTGTTTGTGAACGGTTATAACATTTGGAATGTGACCCACATCTTTAATAACATTGAATTTAAATATATACTCTGTTTAGATATTTGATTCAACTGTTTGAAGAATTTAAAATTCTATTCAACAAGGTTTCATACCATTTTATGTGAGTTTATAAGGTAATAAATTAAGATCTTTTGGAGCGAAAAAAAATCTTTTAAATTAAGGAAAGAATCAACTTTTCGGGTTGGTTAGGTTGGTAATGCAAAACTCTAACTGAGTTCATGTTATAATCCAATTATTTTTTTTATTATTAATAACTAAAATCTCATAAAACTCAAATATGAATCTCATAACACATCATTAAAAATTATTTACAAACAACAAATATTCTTAATTTCATAATAATTTTAAAATTATGGTAAGGTTGGATTGGGTCGGGTTGTAATCTGATTAATTAAAGTGACAAAAAAAAAAAAAAAAAAT